CGAATTAATTAGAATAAGATGGGATTTTTGGAGAGATCTTTATGGAGCTGGAGAATTATTGAACGAGATGATGGTTAATGGAATTGATTTCGATGAAGGAACACGAGATATTGTAAGTGATATTGCATTGGAGATATTTGATGAGGATGGGAAATTAACATCAGGATGGGAACTCGAACAGGAAGGACAAGTTTACAAAAAAATATCGGAAGCTTTTAAAATTATTTCAAAGAAAATTAAGGAAGAATCTCATACTAATAGAAGAAAGGAATAACTAAACTCCAATATATAGTGAAGTGATCGCTATAAGAGCTTTATAAATAAATAAAAATATATGATTGACTATTAAAATATAATTCACCTTACGGAAATTTTTCGAAAAAAAAAAAATAGGGAATTATATAAATTGAATCTTCAATTCCGAGGAGTCAATAATAGTACCAAGTACTTGGCACAAATCACTAATTTATTAACCTATTCCTAATACCTTTTATATAATCATACAAATCAATATGGTTAGAATATAATGAAGATAAAAATAGAGGCGTCATAAGATAAAAATAGAGGAACTGATGATCATATAAAAGTAACCAAAAGAAGTTTTTGAAAAGATCAGCACAATGTTTTTTCAGGTAATCATTCCTTAAAGTAAAATATTTTAACCCCACACTATTACGAAATCGATAGTGAGCTATAAAATATTTACCAGTAGATATGATTCTTTAATTAGATTTATCAGTATTTACATTTACATTTAGAGACCTCCTTTATATATCCATATATATATATTCTGAAACAACACTAATATACATATATATACATATATACAATAGCTGATAGATATTTAAACCGATCACGAGTAAGTTTTTATATATAAACTTTTGCATAATGGTTTTCCATTTAAACAGATAAATGAAATGACTATTTAAGACTGAATTGAGCAATATGCAATTATATAATTAAGAACGTTTTAAACAATAATAAATAGAAATAAAAATTTTGAACGCGTTTGAGACAATGAAATTTTTTTTTTTAGAAATTACGCTTTTATAATTTCAAAAATAATAATATTTTTTTTCGTGGCTTTGAAGATTTTAAACGAAGCCACGGAATTTTAAAAGTGACTTTTTGTGTTCAATTATGCCCATATTGATATATCAATGATCAATTTTTTTGTTCACGTGTACAAGTGATCATCAAAAGTGTAAAATCGTAGTTTTTTTTGTATTAATTGTTAATGTAATTATTCTATATTAAAGGTTTTTTTTTTCATATGCATTCTTATAAAAAAAATTAAATATTAAAAGTAATTATTAAAGATATACATTATAAATTTTATAAATTTTTTTTATCAGCAACACGTAGTTATAAAAGAACAGCGGCGACCAATACCACCAAGAATAATATGCCAAGAGAATTTTTTTTTGATCCGCTTGCTTCCGATAATGTTGAAGGGGCTTTCGTTGGAGTGGCGACCACGGTAGTGCTACTACCGGATATTACTACCTCCCCGCAGACTCCATAATTGGGATTGCAATCCTTACCACAGACTAATAAAGAAAAAAAAAACCTTTAAAAAAAGTCTTATAACACTTATAAACATTATTAAATTTAATACTTACATGATTCTGTTTTACCACATAAACCATCCCTATAATTGTACAAATTTCATTTTTAAAAAATTTAATTAATAATTTTAAATTTATTAAGCAAGAAAATGAAAACAAAAACTTACTTGCTACAACAAAACCCGGCAAGACATGATGAATTACCACTATTAGGACCACACGACATAGATTGTGATTGTACACTTGTGGTAAAATAGAAAAGTATCGAAAGCGATAATAAAATAATCAATGATATATTTCGTTGACACATTTTTATGAATTATGGTTTATATTATTTGTTTTATTTTTTATTTTTTTCTCAATTCTATGCAACTCTATATTATTTTAATTCAATTTTATATTTTATTTATTATTATTATATTTTTATTATTATTATTATTATTATTATTATTATTATTATTATTATTATTATTATTATTATTATTATTATTATTA